CTCCCAAGTAGCTGGGACCACAGGTGCCCACCACAGCGCCTGGCCATTTTTTGGTTGCAGCCATCATTGTTGTTTGGCGGGCCCGGGCTGGGGATTTGAACCCGCCACCTTAGGTGTATGTGGCTGGCACCTTAGCCACTTGAGCCACAGGCGCCGAGCCCACAAATTAATCTTGTCTTTAAACTTCAAATGAATGACATAATACAATACAGAATCTTTTATTCTTGAATTTTTCTTACTTTGTGGAATTCTCTCATCTTACTCTATGTAGTTGTTCAGTTCTATATAGAGTTTGTTCATTTTCATTTATACCACTGTATGAATATGTTATAATTTACTTATTCTATTGTTAATGGTTATTTTGTGCCAGTGTTGACTATTGTTCATCATGCTTTCTTTTTGGTTTTTAGACTGAGTCTCACTTTGTCACCCTTGGCATCACAGCAACCTCAAACTTGGGTTCAAATGATTCTCTTGCCTCAGCCTCCTTTGCAGCTGGAACTACAAGCACCTGCCACAATGCCTGGCTATTTTTTTAGTTAGTTTGTTTGTTTAGTAGGCTGGGGCTGGGTTCTAACCCACCATCCCTGGTGTATGTGGCCAGCACCCTAAGTGTTGAGCTGCAGGCGCCGAGCCGTGTACATCATGCTCTTACTCATTGTATGTTTGCATTTCAGTTCCATACATGTCGGGAATGAAATTAATGGATTATCGGTTATTCGTATTTTTTTTTTTTTTTGAAACATAGTTTCACTCAGTGACCCTAGGGTTGAATGCTGTGGCATTATTGCTCACAACAACCTCAAACTCTTGGGCTTAAGAGATCCTCTTGCCTCAGCCTCCCAAATAGCTGGAAATACAGGCGCTTGTCACAGTGTCTGGTTATTTTTAGAGACAGGATCATGCTCTTTGCTCAGTCCAGTCTCGAACTCCTAAACTCAAGCAGTCCTTCCGCCTTGGCCTCCTGGAGTGCTGAGATTATAGGCATGAGCAACTGCACCCGGCCATTGGTTATTGTATTTTTTCTTTTTTTGAGACAGTCTCATTATGTCACCCTCAACAGAGTGCTGTGTCGTCACAGCTCACAGCAACTTCAAACTCTTGGGTTTAAGTGATTCTCTTGCCTCAACCTCCCAAGTAGCTGGAGGTACAGGTGCCTGCCACAATGCCACAGTGCCGGGCCTTTTTTTTTTAGTTGTTGTTTAGCAGGTCGAACCAGCCCTGGTGTATGTAACTGGTGCCCTAACTACTAAGGTACAGACATTGAGCCAGGTTATTTGTATTTTCAACTGTAGTAAATGCTGGAAAACAATTTCCAAAGTGACTATACTAATTTATAATCCTAGAGACAGCATATGAGAATTCCATTTACTTTACATCCTCATTAACATTTGGTATCGTCCACCTTTTTCATTTTGACCATTCTGGTGGCTGCATCGTATAACTCTTCCTCAAGCTGTCCCCCTGGATAGAGTGCCATGGCATCACAGCTCACAGCAACCTCCAACCTCTGGGCTCAAGTGAGTCTCCTGCTTC